GTCCAGAACCAGACTTCCAATGAAGACTGTTATTTCCAATATTGGAGTGATTTCTAGACCATGATTGAGTCTGAATAACTGGTCACATTTAAGAACAGTACAAGAGTCATTATAACTTTTCTTTTTGATTCTCTGTTCCATGAGGTCTAAAAACTTGAGGCAAGGCAGCTTGTCACATTTGGAAAATAGGCAAGCAAAAGTGGGTTGGGACCATATGTCAATACAGCTTCCAAGTCATCCTCGTCAGGACACTCAGCAAACTCACAGGTCAGCATCATTCTTTGTACTGGAATCAGCATGTCTCACCCGTCCTTTGGTGGCCACCATGCTCCTTCAGCATTCTGCAGATAAAAACACAAATATGCCCTCTTTCCCATATTTAATACCTGATCAGGATCATGCCTTATGCCAGTAAGTGGATCCTTCCTTTTCACTTATGCATAAGTATGCCTAGTTGAAGGGTGTCATAGACACTCAGCAGAAAGTTCTTTGGCATCTAATTTTTTTAAAAAAAAATTTTAAATGAAAAAAGAACATGATTTAAATAAATTTGTGGTGTACAGGGATATATCTCCCCCCTTTTTATTTTATGAAGATATTGTTTTAAAGTTCCATGGGTCTGTTCCACAGTCTCTTGTCCTTGACAATTATAAGGAATCCCCATAATATGGGTAATGTTAAATTGCTGCTAAAATGTCTCAAATGTTTGACTTTGATAGCCAGTTCCATTATCTGATTTTTTGTTTGTTTGTTTTGTTTTTTGTTTGTTTGTTTTTTACCTTTTTGTTTGTTTGTTTTTTACCCACTGTGCCATCTTGTCAGCTCTGAAAATAAACTTCTTTGATGGGCTTGTTCTACTTTTATTCTCAGTTGATAAAGTATGTGAGTAAGGACTTCTACCATGGAAATCTTTTTCCTTTACAAGATGTTGTTCCAAAGGCCTCTGGTTCACATTTTTGCAGTGGGGTCATGAAAAGCTATCATTGTTCATCCACCCTTTGAATGCAGCTAGTTTTAATTCTTAAGCATCTTTTAAAATTCCCCAAAGTCTTTTCTTTCCCCAAAGTATGGATGCTCTGATTTCACTCACCCAAAGCAGTCTCACCTACTCTTGAACTTTTTATAAATGAACCCATACACTACACTCTCTCTGTGCCTGCCAATCTCAGGGGAGTCTCAGAAGCATCTAGCTGAATATCAGTAATTTCCTTTTACTAGATAGTACTGAGTATATTGTGTGCTTATCTATTCACTGGTTGATAGAAATTTGGGTTCTTCTTCTGCTTAGAATATTATGAAAGTTGATTCTAGGGCTTGAACATTTTTATGCAAGCTATTTTGCACAGCTCATTTTTCATTATCAAAATGAATATTTTTTCAAAGCATTTATTGAAGTATTTGTGGTGGTTTATATTCTTTTTTATAATTTAACTCAAATTTTTAAATTTATTCACTTTATATCCTGCTCACTGCCCCCTCATGCTCACCCCCCAACAATCCTTCCTACCTTTCCCTTACCCCTTCTCTTCTGAGAGGGTGGGGGCCTCCCTGGGTATCTCCTCCACCCTGGCACATCAAGTCTCTGCAGGGTTAGATGCATCCTCTCCCACTGAGGCCAGATAAGGCTGCCCAGCAAGAAGAGCATATCCCATGTACAGGTAACAGCTTTTTGGATAGCCCACCTTCCAGCTGTTCAAGACTCTCATGAAGACTAAGCTGTCTTACATCTGCTACATATGAGTGGGGAGACCTAGGTCAAGCCTATGTACGCTCTTTGGTTGATGGTTTAGTCTTTGAGAGCCCCGAGGATCCAGGTTGGTTGACTCTGTTGATCTTCCTGTGGAGTTTCCATCCCCTTCCAGGCCCTAAATCCTTCCTCCTGTTCTTCCATAAGAGTTCCCAAGCTCCACTCAAACTGCTTTGCTGTTGGTGTCTGCATTTGTCTGATTCAGCCTCTGGGTGGAGCCTCTCAGAGGACAGCTATACTAGACTCCTGTCTGCAAGCATAACAGAAGTATCATTAATAGGGCTTGCCCTTGGGTCTTAAGTTGGACCAGTTATTGGTTGGTCAATTCCTCAGTCTCTGCTCCACCCCCTGTCCCTGCATTTCTTGTAGACAGGATAAATTTTGGGTTGAAAATTTTGTGGATGGGTTGCTCTCCTTATAGTTTTACTGGGGTTCCTGCCTGGTTACAGGAGGTGGCCTCTTCAGGTTCCATATCCCCAATGCACAGCTCACTTTTAAATCACTCAAGAGGCAAAGGTCTTAGAAAAGAAAATATAAAAATTGGCAAGAAACACACATTTTAAGATAACTTTTTATTTCTACAGAAGCACATATATACTTATAACTATGATTAATCTGAGTATATCTATGTAAAAAATTATAAGAAGATCCAGGAAAACATTAGCCAATCAGAAATCACTGGGGAACATGCTGCAATGTTTAGGAAGGGGTTTTAATTTACTAGGTGTGGGGTTTCTAAAGGTTTAGCACATACCCCTGGTAATTCTGTTGTTTCAAGTGTGAGAAATGCAGTGAAATAAGTACATTTCATAATTCTATTTGAGTGATTACGTAATTGTATTTGGGTGGCTAGAGATACCGCATTTGGGTTAATCATTGGCTGATACTGTGCAAAATAAGAACAGCCTCAAGGATGAGCATGAGGAGGCCTGGAGTTTGCCATGTGTTATGTAACAGTTTCTATAAAGATTGAAATATTCCATCCTCCAGGCAAGCTACTTAAGCAGGAAAGTAAATCATGCAAAATAGCTTTAGGAAGTCCCTGAAACTTAACAAATTTACTAAGCTGCTCCCTGCCAGTGTAAACAATAAAGGCCTCAGAGGCAATATGCTACAAGTAAGACTAAGACGACTAAGACCCAACCAGCTTCCTGAAAGACCAGAACCCAGTGGAGCTGCCTGGGGAGGTTTAGAGCAATGGAAGCTCTTGGAAAGGACATTCTCCAACCTGTTGAGCTGCCTGTACACAATGTAGCATGCTTCAGGTTCCCTAGCTTTTGTGCATTGTCACTAATGCTGGAGTGGGTTTTTGTAATGTAGCTATCTTTGAGTCATTTCTGCTCCTGTAAGAGACCCCTTACCTGTATTCCTGTTAGTAAACTCAATAAAACTCATTGCTTTACCAAGTTGGACTTTGGTGTATCTGTACCTTGATCTGTCATGGGATCCCCCCTTGAAGAAGTAGACATGTGTTGTGTCCCTACAGTAAAAGTTTTGTCATACACACCATGCTATCTTGAAATGACTAAGATAATACCATACTATCCCAACATAGTGTTGTGCCTGCCTGATCACTTCTCAGCCTTCCACCCACAACAGCCACATTCACCTTGGCAACACTTCTGGGACTGGCCATAATCTTGACCATGCTCTAGCCATACTGTGTAGTATCTGTAAGATATTGCTGAGCCTTGTAAAGAAAGCAGATGCTACTAGGGAACTCCCAATGCCTCAATAATGCAATGCCTTCCTATTAGCACAGATGTAATTATGGTTGGGCACTAAGAGACTTTCCAGAGGTGTGAATACACTCTTGGTCTGGACATTAATAAAGGACTCACAACTTTTAATTGGATTAACCAGCATGGTTGTCGTGAACTATCTCATGTGGATTACTTCAATCTTGCTCAGGATCATTTCTGCTGATTTGTTATACTGTGTTTCATAAGGACCCAACTTCAGCAGATAGAGATTTAAAGTCCAAATATCAAGAATATCACTATTTCCAGTTATAGTATTCAATGTCAATGCTGTCCTCAGCATTTCTTGCTGACTCCATATTTCTTTCTGTCCTCACTCATAAAATAAAAGGCAGGTGGAAATAATGCCACTTAAAAATTATTCAAGGACTGGAGAGATGGATCGATGGTTGAGAACATGTACCTCTCTTGCAAAAGACCTGAGTTAGGTCCCCAGCACCCATTATTGGGTAGATCACAACCTCCTGTAACTCCAAGCTCCAGGGAATTCAGCACCCTCATCTGGCCTCCATAAGTACCTGCATTCACACACACACTTACAAATAATAAAATAAATTATCCAAATTCTAAAACCAGGCAAAACGATCATCCTGGGCCACTGTGTAAGAGGCCCTTCTAAGTGTCAGTGGGTCCAACTCTGCTTGACTCAGTGCTTGTGCCCACGTCTACCTGGGTGCGTAGAAGCAAGATATAGAGGCAAAAGAACTGAGCAAGAGAACATGTCTTACAGAGACAGGACTGGGGCAAGATAGTAGTAGTGTTTTAAACAACAGATGCACATTATAATAGAAAGAACATGAAAACATTTATGGAAGTCTAGAATAATAAAAGTTAATGTTTTAATGATGTGCATTATTACTTGTACACATTGATCACAGGAAAGAATTGTTCAAGCTGAGGTAATCAACCTAACTGTTTATGTTTACCAGGCAGTATCCTCACCCTTCAGGGATAAACCATTGTACCCCAACATAGTTTAAATAGCTTTAGTCATTTTAAAAACTGTTAATTCACTCAATATTCTAACTCCTTTCCTAGTGTGGCCAGATCTACACAGCAGTCAGTTGCTGAAGGATCAAAGCTATTAGCAGTTACAGCAAATGTCATTGTGAGGCCTCTGCTATATAAATGCAAGGAGTTGATATTACAAGTGTGTGAAAACCTGGTATGAATCAGGCCAATGGCTGGAAGTGAGGATGTCACCACTCACACACAGGGCATTCTTAGGTTTTATACACTGTAGCACAGCATCCTATTTCTCAGGTATATTTTTGTTGGGCCACTTTAGTCTTAGAGGACAGCCTTACACCGCTCCCATTCTACCAACTTTGGAGTATGAATTCTGTTTTGTTGCTTCTTCATCTATGAAATGAGATAATGTTGGTCCTGGTCACCTTTCAGTATGAAAACACCACAGATCAAACAAATGATAACATATTAGAGGTTTGAAATTTTAAGAGCAAGAGTTCTAACCCTCCACCTCCATGCTGAGTTCAAGACTTTATATCTAAATTGAAGTTAATGTTGTAATGTTCCCACTTTTTTGATGTGAGGAAGATGGGTCTGCCAGTCCCAGAGGAGGCAATAAAACTCCCAGGGAAAGCCACTGACTCAAAGGTGGACATTCCACTTGTTCGGGTATGGTAAAACAAGAATGGCTTCATTGGCTTAGGATGGTGGTACAAATCCAAAATCTTCTCTTCCTACATGTGAGAGAGAATATTCATGAGCAAAAATAGATATTACTTCTGATAGGCAAAGTTATTTTTCTACAGCCACCAAATATTCTCAAGTTCAAGGAAGCCTCTCTTACAACAGGATAAGAAAGGGACATTTCAGAGGTGAGGAATTTAGCTCAGTAGTAGAAAATGCCTAGCAAATAGCCTACCTGGGTTCAGTGTCCACTAACTTTCCTCCCCTGCCCCCCCAAAAAAAATAAAAAAGAAAGAAAGAAAATAAATAGAAACAAAAGGAAGGAACAATGGAAGGAAGGAACAAAGGAAGGAAGGAAGGAAGAAGAGAAGGGAAGGAAGGAAAGAAGGAAGGAAGGAGAGAAGAAGGGAAAGAAGGAAAGAAGGCAGGCTTCAAGTCTCCCTGACGATCATTGTCTCCTTTTTGTTCTTTCCCTTCACTACTAAACATAATCATTGATGACTATCCGTTGTGTCAACATTGTAAATGTGCTCACATAACCTAGTTACAATGTCATGCAATCATGACATGGCCTTAGAAGACCACTATATATGAAGTCCATTGTTAGTCAAAATGTTGTCATGTGTCACATAAGTGTATTTTAATGATCCAAGCCCACTATCAGTTCTTGCTTTAGAGAAACCCCTCCAGATGGCTGCCAAAATCTGCTGTCTGGTTTTTCTTTTTAAACTTACTCCATGTAAGCAACCTTTTCATCCCTAACACTTGTCTCATTAAGTTCCCCCCAAAGCCCATACATTATCAATGGCCAATTTCTGAGAACAAAAGTCTTACAGAAGAGTAACTTAGCAAAGGCATGACAGACTTTGGAATGTAATCACATTTACTCTGTCCACAAATATTGTTGCTATTTCCAGAGTCTACCCCTACCGACTTCATCGTCATCCCAGAACCATCAAACCACACCCAGCTTACCATATAGCCTCCAGAGGACTTTCATCCTTGACCCCTGCAATGTCTGATCAACCTAGTATCAGATTATCCTTTTCAGACCTAAGTCATTTTGGATCACTCTGTTCAAAACATCCCACGTATCTCCTTTCACTTGGATGGAGTGGCCAAGTCCTGGCAAGACTTTTTCTGGTCTTAGTTCAGTGCCACCTACCTGTCTTCGCTGGTTCCTGGACTTACCCTCAGATGCTGACTGAATTCCCTGCTTCCTGCTCTCTCCTAGAATTACTCCTGTGCAATGACACCTACCACACATTTTACTGCCCGTCTCTACCTTGTTTCTGATGCTCTCAGGCTCTGCCCTAACTGGATTGGCTTTTTACTGAACTTGTTTTGTTTTGCTTTGTTTTTCCTATGACATGTGATAGCCTTTGCCATATCACAAATGTACTTTACTATATTTATCATTTGTATGTCTCTCTTCTTTCTAGAATCCAGGCTCTACAAGGTTAGAGCTCTTTGCCATTCTGTTCAAAGATAGCTCATGTACTCATATGGTACAATTAATTTCTTGCACTTTTGCTGAGTTAAATTGGATTAAGCTGAATAAAGCTAATTAAAGTGAAGTTTATGGAGCAAGAAGAGATATATGTAACATATATCCTTACAAACAAACAAAATTATATCTATTTATATACATTTCTATGTATGAATATATATATATAATTATCTTGAGAGGTTTAGGAATTGGAACAGCAAAGATTAACATTTCAGAAAAGCTTCAGGAAGGGTCATTAAACAGGTAAGAGGAGAATGAGCATAATTATAAACTAGTATATTGTACCAAGAAATTCTCCTAGAATGAAAGGCCAACAAGCAATTAAATAACAGGAAGACAGAAAGTACGGCAATTACATAAGATAGTATAAAATACTTAGGGGAGGGGGGCTAAGACTTCCACTGACTGGTGAATAGAAATTCTGAAATGAGAAATACAGGAGAATTAGGGAGAGGTCATGCAAATGTCTACAATGACTGTAGACATGTTAACATTTAAGAAAGACAAAAATTCTCAACTAGGAAAGTCAAGATAAAGTATTTTAAATGTTCATTTTTAAAATTTTACTTTAGGGGGAGAAAAAGGTCATTTGGCTCACAATGCTAAGCTACAGTCCATGACTCTGAAGTCAAGGCAGGGACCTGGGGCATCTAGCTAGTCACACCACATCCAAGAACATGGCTACTTGCTTGCTTGTTCTTGGCTAGATTTCTCCATTCTTCTACAGTTTAGGACCCCCTACCTGGGGAATGGTACTGCTCACAGTAGGCTTGGTCTTCTCATGTCAATCAATTTAACTAAGGTTGTCTTCTACAAGACATGTTTACATTTTAAAAGGAGCTAGAAATGAACATGCTTAGAAAATAAAGTTTCTTTGTTAGTTGTAACATTTGATCTCCCACCAAATAAATCATATAAGGAAACATGGAAAGAAATCCAAGAGGGGGGGAAATGAAAAGGGTGGCAACTAGGTGGGGGGAGAAAGATAACAGTGTGACATAAAATAGAGAGGAGACGGTGAAGGGTTAGACGGGAGGATAAGGAGGGAGCCGGGCTGTGGAGAACCTACTGCAGCATGCTTTGTTAAAAAATGCCACATGGAACCTACTGATTATATGCTAACTTAAAGATAAAAAGTATAAGAGAAAAAAACACAGTTTTTAATGGTATTTTTCTGGGTCACTGACCTTCAGCAGCAAAGTGGGATGTCCATTAACTTCCTTACAACACAGGCATTTATCTGGATTCTGAATTCCCAAGTAAATGGGAATCCCTTTGCCCTGTTCAAGTGACTCTGGGTACTTGCATGGGAGGATAGTCACAGTAACTATAAAAATAAGAAGATAACAGTTTCCTTTTGAAGGCAGGAAGACAGAATGCTCTAATAGTTCTGATTTAGCAGAGCAGCATTTGCCAGGTGAGGCCAGAAGACACTTGTAGAATGTAATCCTTGCTACCTAGACCAATCAAGTGGTCCTCCACCCAATGGCCTATGCATTGTGATAGGTAAGCAACTGACCTAGCTATTGGGACAGGAACAGACGGTAGGATCTACATTCTCATACCTGTGTTTGAACACCTGATGGCAGTCACTCCTATCCTAAGTGACTCCTCTGAGCCACGGAGAGCTCTTGGACCATTAGCAAAGTTTGCCTAAAGGGATGTTGAAATTTTCCTGTCTGTGTTATTCCCTCATTTAATTCTTTTAGGATGCCTTGATGTCATATAGAACATACATATATCCCTCTTCCAAAGTACAGATCAACTGCTTTAGATCTGTGGTACAAGTTCCTCATGCCTGAGAAGGCTCTTCCACCCATAGTGACTGCCTTACCTTAGTCTGTGACAACCCTCTCCTTGACTTCTCTTCCTAGGCAGGTGTAAAACTCTGCCTCTTCCTGGTGGCCCCATTGAAAGTTAAGCTTGGTTTTGGCACATAATTAGACAGATTTTGAGGTGCAGAGTATTGATTTAATACATGTATGTGCCAAACAACAATGATGAAACCAGGGTAATCCGTATATGCTTCAGAACATATATTTAACATTCATCTGTAGTCAAACAACCCAGAAGCTCTCTTCTAACTATTATTAATCATGGCCATCCTGCTACACAATAGGGTACTAATTCCTTCCATTAACAAAGTCTGTGCAGTGTGATGAGCAAAGCAGTAACAGATGACCACTGACCTGGAGTTACAGTGTAGTTTTGTGGAACTGACACAAGGGCCTGATCACGAAAGATCCACACCTGCTGGTCCACATCAACAACCACCCCGAAGTCAGGAGTACCTTTTCCTGTTTTAATGAAAACAAATAAATGTGAAGCTTAAGTCTCAGGAACAGGAGAGAGGTGATTACCTAAATCCAGACCCATTCTGCAATGAAGACCAGGTGTCTCTATCTCCAAACTGGCAACTTTTTTTTTTTTATAACCCATCAACCTGGACTTTCTTTGTAGTAAATCTGTGGGAAACAAAGGCTACCCAGGGTGATTCCTAATCTAAGGGATAAGCCAGCAAGCCAGAGTAAAAACAAGTTCCACAGTTCATAGGTACTGAGACCCAGCTGCTCTTGTTTGTGCTTGCTCTGTGCTTGGCCTGATGTTGGTAGTGGTCTCCACCCTCTAGAAAATGAAGGCCTAGTGGCATATGGGCACCTTCTTATGTGCTAAGAACCATACCTGCGATGGCTGGAGAAAACGGGTGTTTGGAAGACATAGCTGAGAATACAAATAGCCCAACTCTCTAGTGTCCTATCTCAACATCGCTTCCATGAATTTTTTTTCGTTGTTTTCCATTGTAATCTTGTTCTGGTGCCTGAGGGAGAAGACACAGAAAGAAGATAAACCTCAGGAACATTTCCAAAACTTTCTAAGACCCGAGTTTCTCAGGGTCTCATTCAGGACAGAGAGCCGAAATGATGCTCTTGTAAGAAAAGCTAAGCTATTTCCTGGGACAAAAATCTTAAGGCATTGGAGACAGAAGAGCAGGTAGAATTCTTCTCCTCACAGAAATCCTAAATAACATTATCTCCCTACAAGTTTCAAGACCATAAGTAGCATTTGGCCTTTAATATTCTCCCAGCCCCCAATTCCCCCCAGAGACCCTTCCTTTTCACTGTCATCTCTTTATGCCTAAGGCAAGGGAGGTCTTCATGTTGGACAGTTCACCAGAATCCCAGCAACTCAGAAGTGAAAGACAGAGGATCACTCACAGAGTACTCACAGGATCACTCACAGCAAGATGGATCATTCACTGAGCCCTAAATTGCAGAAAGCTCCACACTCAGAGGGTTTTGTAGGTCTGGGCTGTACCTGGCAAGAAAGAGTCCTTATGGAAAGTCCAGAAGACCAAATCCCAGCTTGGGCAGCTCCCAGGTGTAATGCTGCATTCCAGTCTGGATCCTTTATCTAGGTGAGTACCGGAGGCTCCAGCCTCTTTTATGGGGTGTGGCAAATGTACAGATGGAAGAAATCCAGTTCCTCTTGCCAGAACTTTACTTCTGGGAAGTTAAGGTGAAGAAATCTCAGAATCAGCATGAGTATGACTTGCCTGAGCTCCTTAAGAATCGTAGGGAGCCCAGCCCCATAGGTCAGTCACCAGGAAACAGACCTACTAACAAACTATAGGTTTCTAAAAAGGGAGAGATTATGGGATTTCCCCAGAGCCTGAAGCCTATTCTTTGTTCTAGCCTAAGATTTAGATTCCTGCCTGAAATTTCTTTTTTTTGTTGTTGTTGTTCTAGCCTAGGATTTAGATTTCTGCTGAAATTACTGCTTTGGTCTAGCTTAATGTCAGATTCCTGCCTGCAGTCCATTTTCTTGTCTTTGTCCTATGTTGGATTCCTTCCAAGCAACCAATTTCCTTGTCCTTGGCCAATGTCAGATTCTTGCCAGGCAGCACCAAAAGCTTTCCACATATCCCCCTTTTTATTGCATAAACCAGAGGTTGCTCTGACAAGAATGCCTTCCCTACCCATCCTGGAATATGCATTATCCAAAGCAATGCACTTTATGTCTTAGGTTGGTAAGGCTCTGTGTAGAATCTTACCCATCCTTGGCTTGCCAACCTATTAAATTAATCACTCTATCTAGGGGTCCATTTTCAGTTTCAAGTAATGTACTTTGGCTGCTAACCTGTTGATGTAGTTAGAGACAATCTTTAACATGATGGGCAGGAATGAAAGTATTCCCAGGACAAGAAGGGCTAGCATTATCAAGCTATACATGCCATTCCTGAGGTTTGACCAAAATGGAAATACTGACCTCAGGCCATGGATTAGTAACATTTTTTGCAAGATGGTTAACAAAAGTAGCTGTCTTAACTCCGTGTTTTCAAAGCTATTGCAGAAGCAGTGGTGCTAGCAATTAATAAAATTAAAGCTGTTACCAGCAATAATCAAGCCCGCTACCCTCTTGCTTCTGCTTAAAGCCTAACTCACTTCTTCCAGCACTTTCAGGGTTTTTTTTTTTTTTCAGAGAATCAAGGTTTTCTAATACTCAGGGCAGTAAGACAAAAGCTGGTTGATAAATTCCCATAACAGATATGCCAGGTTTCAACACACTAACACAATTAGAAAGTATACAGTCAATGCAAGTTACAATAAATTCTGTAGAAGAGACAAAACCAGTTTTAGCTTGACAATTAAAAGAGTCTTAAGACATGCACTAACCCTTGTTTGAAATCCAGATCCTGTCCCAACTTTATCTCTTGCTATCATACCATCATAGAGAACTACAGCCAATTTCCAAATATGTCTCTGAAAATGTCCAGATCCAGCCTTCCAAATGAAGACTGGTATTTCCAATATTGAATTGATTTCTAGATCAGTACATGATTGAGTCTGAAAACTGGTCACATTTAAGAAAAATACAACAATTATTATAATTTCTCTTTTTGATTCCCTGTCCCACAAGATTTAAAAACTTGAGGCAAGGCAGCTTGTCCCATCTGGGATATAGGCAAGCAAGGGTGGATCAGGAATATATGTCCAATACAGCTTCCCAGTCACCCTTATTAGGGCACTCAGCGAGCACACAGGTCAGCATCATTCTTTGTCTCAGCAACAGCATGTCTCACCAATCATTCTTGCAGCCACCATGCTTCTATAGCACCTTGCAGAAAAAACACAAACATACCCTCTTCCCCATATTAGATACCTTGTCAGGATCATGCCATATGCCTGTAAGTGGCTCCTTCCTTTTCACCTAGACGTAAGTATGCCTAGTTGAAGGGTGCCATAGACACTCAGCAGAAAGTTCCTTGGCATTCAAAACGTTTTTTTTTTTTAATTTAAAATAAAAAGAATATGATTTAAATAAATTTGTGATGTTCAGGTGTATACCTCCCCCTTTTTTTATTTTATGAAGATATTGTTTTAAAGTTCCATGGGGCCCCTTCCACAATGTCTTGTCCTTTAGGATTATAAGGAATTCCAGTAATAAATTGTTGACAAAAAGCCTCAACTGCTCAGTTACAATTGCCAGTTACATTATCTGTTTTTTTTTATTGGATATTTTATTTATTTACCTTTTAAATGTTACCTCTCCCATTCCCCTCAAACCCCTTATCACATCCCCCCTCCTCCTACTTCTATGAGTGTGTGCCCCTACCCATCCACCCATTTCTGCCTCCCTGTTTTCGAATTCCCCAATTGTAGGACATTCAGACTTTCAGGGACCAAGACCCTCCTCTTACACTGATGCCTGTGAAGGCCATCCTCAACTACCTATACAGGTGGAGCCATGACTCCCTCCCTTTGTGTTCCCAGGCTAGAGGTTTAGACCATGGGAGCTCTGGTTGAGTATTTTGTTACTCCTTCTAAGAAGTACCAAAGCACCCACACTTTGGTCTTCCTTCTTTTTCCTGGAGCTTCATGTGGTCTATGTGTTGTATCTTAGATATTGTGAGCTTTTGGGCTAATACATTTTCTGTATCCATTCCTCTGTTGAAGGACATCTGGGTTCTTTCCAGCTTCTGGGTATTATAAATAAGGCTGCTATGAACATAGTGGAACATGTATCCCTGTTGTATGTTGGAACATCTTTTGGGTATAGGCCCAGGAGTGGTATAGCTTGGCCCTCAGGTAATGCTATGTCCAATTTTCTGAGGAAGTTCCAGACTGATTTCCATAGTGGTTGTACCAGTTTTCAATCCCACCAACAATGGAGGAGTGTTCCACTTTCTCCACATCCTCGAGTTTCCTCAGTTGAGAATTCTTTGTTTAGCTCTGTATCCCAATTTTAATCAGGCTATTTGATTGTCTAGAGTTTAATTTCTACAGTTCTTGTATACCTTGGATATTCGCCCTCTATCAGATGTAGGATTGGTAAAGATCTTTTCCAAATCTGTTGGTTGCTGCTTTGTCCTATTGATGGTGTTCATTGCTTTACAGACGCTTTCCAGTTTTATGAGGTCCCATTTGTCAATTCTTGATTTTAGAGCATAAGACATTGGTGTTCTGTTTAGGAACTTTCCCCCTGTGGCCATGTGTTCGAGGGTTTTCCCTATTTTCTCTTCTATTAGTTTCAGTGTATCTAGTTTTACATGGAGGTCATCGATCCACTTGGACTTGAGCTTTGTACAAGAGATAAGTATGGATCAATTTGCATTCTTCTAAATGCTGACCTCCAGCTGAACCAGCACCATTTGTTGAAAATGCTGTCTTTTTTCCACTGGACAGTTTTAGCTCCTTTGTCAAAGATCAAGTGACCATAGGTATGGGGGTTCATTTTGGGGTCTTCAATTCTATTCCATTGATCTTCCTGCCTGTCTCTGTACCAATACCATGCTGTTTTTATCACTACTGCTCTGTAGTACAGCTTGAGATCAGGAATGGTGATTTCCCCAGAAGTTCTTTTATTGTTGAGAATAGTTCTCGCTATCCTGGATTTTTTGCTATTCCAAATGAATTTGCAAATTGCTCTTTCTATCTCTATGAAGAATTGAGTTGGAATTTTGATGTGGATTGCATTGAATCTGTAGATTGCTTTCAGCAAGATGGCCATTTTTATTATATTAATCCTGCCAATCCATGAGCATGAGAGATAATTCCATCTTCTGAGATCTGCTTCAATTTCTTTCTTCAGGGACTTGAAGTTCTTGTCATACAAATCTTTTACTTGCTTGGTTAGAGTCACACCAAGGTATTTTATATTATTTGTGACTATTGTGAAAGGTGTAGTGTCCCTAATTTCTTTCTCAGCCTGGTTGTTCTTTGAGTAGAGGAAGGCCACAGATTTGTTTGAATTAATTTTATATCCAGCCACTTTGCTGAAGTTGTTTGTCAGGTTTAGGAGTTCTTTGGTGGAAGTTTTGAGGTCACTTAAGTATACTATCATATCATCTGCAAATAGTGAGATTTTGACTTCTTCCTTTCCAATTTCTATCCCCTTGACCTCCCTTTGTTGCCTAATTGCTCTGGCTAAGACATCCAGTACCATATTGAATAGGTAGGGAGTAAGTGGGCAGCCTTGTCTAATCTCTGATTTTAGTGGGATTGCTTCAAGTTTCTCTCCATTTAGTTTGATGTTGGCTACTGGTTTGCTGTATACTGCTTTTACTATGTTTAGGTATGGGCTTGGATTCCTGATTTTTCCAAGACTTTTACCATGAAGGGGTGCTGAATTTTGTCAAATGCTTTCTCAGCATCTAGTGAGATGATCATGTGGTTTTTTCTTTGAGTTTGTTTATATAGTGGATTACATTGATGGATTTCCATATATTGAACCATCCTTGCATTCCTGGGATAAAACCTACTTGATCATGATGGATGATTGTTTTGATGT